TTTGGCTTTCAATTTTGGTACGTATACTCAAAAAGAAACATGCAACTGACATATGAACGAATTTACTGATTGAAAACCAATTGGAAAAGAAGAGTGTGAAAGGAGAAAACGTTTAATATAAGAAATAGTTCCTTTTCTCATAAAATTGCATTAGATCTCTTAGCCACAACGTTAAAATTTAACATTTCATAGTATAAAATATTCATGGAATTTAAAAAAAATAACTGGAATAAAAGTAAATCAATATATATATATATATATATATATATATAAATATTACAGAACAACTCATTTAATGTTCTGTTTTCTTCAAGTTTTAATAAAAAAACACAGGACTGTTCGACCAAAAAAAAAATTCAAGAGCTATTGTTCCAGCAATTTCCCATCAATTAATGAGCTGCCATGACTGCCAACCGAGGCTGATTGAGTTACCAGCAGCTGAATTCGGCCATCAGCCATTTCCGATTCTCGGATTTCAATCAAAGGAAAATATTTACATTTTTCACTTAGCCAAGCTTTTCGAAATGAAATGCCAAACAAAGGACACAAAATGCGCCAAGGCAATAAAGTGCGGAATAAGAAACCGAATAATTGTATAAAATAAGCAAACGAGCCACTAAAGAGGCTGAAACGGCAGCCTTGAAGTTTCAGATCCCAGCTTCTTGGCAGCAGTCTGAAAAAGAATTAAACTAATATTTATCAAAGAGATGAGCGAGACGTGCTTCAAGCTAAACAAAAGACGACAGCGAAAGCCGGCGCCACCGGAGGAGAAATGAGGAATGGCCCCATGGCAGGACGGGCAGGATAAGCAGGACGAAATAAGGAGCAGGATGTGCGGTATGAGCTGGATGTGGATGTGGATGATGCGAGTGAGATGCTGCAGCGTCACGACGGACTAAGGACTCAGAACTAAGGCAAGTGACGCTGTCAAAAAGCGGAATGAATGGACCCGCTTTATCTGCTACGTCCTCCACTTTTTGGATGCACTGACAAAAAATAAGTCCTTTTTAGAACCGTACGGTATTTAAATCATGTTGGTATTAAGTAACTTTTCTTGTGACCTAAAAGCGTCTTTTCTGTTTTGTTTAATTTTTTTTGCTTAGCATAAAATTGTGTTTCTCATCAATTATTTTCTTTAAACTTTCAATTTAATACTTTAAATTAAAAGATCCGTCAATGTCAATGAATAGTTTAAGGAACAAATCTGTGAACAAAATTACTGTGAAATTGAAGGAATGTTTTGTATTGCATCTGGCTTTTTTGGCAGTGAATGTGAGCCAGAGTGGCGCTAAAAGTTGAACCAAATTTATGCTAATTAGCAGCTGCTAACCAGCGTTAAAACTTTGCACTTAAAAAGCGCTGGAGAAGCAGAACCTCCCGACATGTGTTCTTATGTGCTCCAACCTGGCGGGACCGGAATTTACGGGCTGGCAGATCCTTCGGCATTATGGCTCCTAAAATTGGATAAGTGCTGCTTTTCGGACAGCTGGTCCGCACAATGGACAGTCAGATATACTACATATTTTCTAGGGAGTGCGGGCATATTCTTGGCTCAGCACTTTTTCAGCCGCCTCATTCTGCTTTGTTGGGGAGTGACTTCACAGCTGTCCCCCTCGAAACATTCAAAAATTTACCATTTATAAGTATTTATTTCGGTTGGGCGGCGGTGGGAGTGGTCTGGGGTAATTGCATTGAAATGGGAAAATAAAACGGCTATAAATATGCCCATTGTGTGCCAGTACGATTCTAGAGCCAACAATGCGCCCCATAAATTAACTAAATTGAAAACCATTTCGGTGCAGCGCTCTCAAAAGCTTTGTATACCCCCCAAAACCCCCGACCTTCAGCGCTAGCAACACTTTTATATTCATTACATTTCATACTGAGCTCCGGTCTATTGTGCCCTGCCTTTGAAAGGGAAACTAGGCTTTATTAGACGGCTGGTAATTATGTGTTGATTTTGAATTCATGTCTTGCTTTTGGCTTTTTATTCGTTTTAATAAATAGCTAATAATAAATCCAGAATTTGTTTTTAATTTATTGAATTACTTTTTGTAGGGATACAGAGATTTGTAAACATTTGGAATAATTATTTTATTATAAACAAAATTCTTGTATTCAAAAGTATGAAGGCTTTTTTCCACTACTATTCACTTAACTTTTTTGTTATATTTTTCGTAAATATTTTTTTTATCAGTGAACAACATATTTAGCTTGCAAAGTCAACAAGGAATATGAAAAATTCAGCTGGGTATATAATCAGCTTGTAAGAGCGTTAAAAAGCCAACATAGAAATTCGTGCCACATTTTTGTAGCTTTTTTTCCTTCTGATGCGCTTTCCGCTCACTGCGCACATAAATATGCAATAGAAACTTTTCTCACGTTTTTGATTGCATTTTTTGTGCAGCGTCATAAATATTTAATGTTTACTTTCGCCGGCAACGGAAGATCTGACCTCTTTAATATCCTTGCAATATTTATGGCTTTTCCATGTGGCCGCCGGTAAGCAACTGCAATGTGTTGAGTGCGGTGGATTTCTTTTAATGTCCTTATTAAAAGGGGAATGGATAAGCCAGGGAAATGCGACTCCTTGGCAATGTTCCTAAATGTGGCCAAAAACCACACGATGCACTTCATTAACTTAATTAAAAATCTTGGCATCAGCTCGGCAAATAGCTTGTATGAGTGCATGAAAGGGCGGTAAGTGCAAGTGCAAGAACCGCAAAGCGAGTAATTTCCAGCTGAGTGCAAATAATGCGCTTTTCCACATGAACACGGTAAAAAACGGAAGGAAGGTAAATTATTGTAGTCTGACTTTAAAATTGTCTAACCAAATCGAAAAACCTCAAGAAAATTGTGCCGTATTAGCACTAAATATATATAGCTTGTATGATTTTTCAAATATAAGGATGTTATCCCAAACTACATTTAATTTGTTCCTGTGTAACCACACACACTTCCATAACGCAGCGCACGGAGCGTAAACTCAATTAAAAACTGTCGAGCTGTTGCCGCCACGCCGCATTTCGCCTGACGACTGAAGTTGATTATCTTTATCCAGTGTCAGAAAAACACACACACATGTCGCTCTCTGTCTCGCTTTTCTTTTTCCAGGCTTTTCATAGGTTTTTCCTAGCTGCCCATTGTTTTTTTCCATCCACACTTAACGCCGCACGCAAATGTATTTTTTCGTTTGAGAGTGCATGGACTTTATTCTATGATAGCTTGTAAGTTTTATTTTCCTGTTGCCGGGAGTACCAGCAAACGTAATTGGATTTAAAATGCAGTTGCATTCATAAATTAGCCATCTAACTGGTTTGGAATGCACAATGTAGAGGCCACAAAGCAGTACAGGATGTAAGCCAAGTACCATGCTGAACAGTCAGATCTCATAAATGCCATTCGGGAATTGTGTTTGCCTGGGAGTTCTGGCCAAATAAATTTGTCATTCAACTGAGCCACCACATTGCTGAACAGAGAGAAAAACGCACAATTTTTGTTTAACTTTGAGCTTAATACAATTGAAATTGTTGTAGACTTTAAGAACTATTTAGAACATTTTCAAATCTGATTATGTTTCTGGGACACTGACGCGGTAACAATATTTTACTTCCTACATTTTAAGCGTTACAAAAAAAATTATTTAGGTAGAATAAGTATGATGCAAATTGTAATTATATTCGAAGCAAAAATATTCGTATTTATTCCGTGTTATTTAACAGGGGCGTATTTTATTTTAAAAATGGTTTGATTAACTTCTCTTTTTATTTTAAATGTATAAAGTTTTTTTAGACCTCTCAAATCTGATGAGGTTTCTGGAAAACTAAGACATTTTATGGTTAATATTGTATATAAATTATACCCAATATATAAAAAAAAAAAAAAAATTTAAATTAAATCAGTCCGATCTCAAGTCTTAACTTATTTTTTGTTTCAAATGTAAAAAAGACTTCAATGAATGCTGAAAACACAAAATGAAATAATTTATATATTTTGTATACGACATAAGTGAAATATTAAAGATTAATCAATCTAGTAAATCTTGATATAAGATTCTTCAACATTTTTAAATTACTGTTTTATGAACATTTACATTGTGAATTTTGATTCCATATGTACTGGTCGATACTTTGTTCTCTGTGTGTGTTCATCTAAATGCAGAATAGGGCAAACAAAGTCAGGGCGAGTGGAGTGATTGGGGTTCGCAAACGCGTTCGCATCTCCCAGCGGCTGCATGTGGGGAATTTTTATGGGGTGAGCACTCACCACCCGCTTACTCTGTGTAACCCCCTTGCCGCTACTGCCATATCTGCTATGCTCTGGTGCACTCTGTTGCAAATGCAATGCCTACAATGTCTCAAATGCGGCTAAGCATGACGTTGATGAAGCGCATGCAACAGCTCAACTTAGTTGAAGGTTCATGGAATGGCAGGTTGATGTTGCTGCTGTGCTTCTGTTGCTGCTGTTTCTATTGCTGCTGTGCGGCGATGTGTTCCTGTTGCCGGCTAAATTTGTTGCTGACAATTTCTTGTTAGCGCGAACCGCACATGTAGTGGTTTCGTGTGCGTGTGTTCTAGACGATAAATTTTCAATTTTTCAACTCGCGTGCGTTTGTGTGAGTGAGCGCGCTTTAGCGTTTCCGCCTGTTTAGCCACCGTTCAACGCAGCACAACATGGCGTATGATTGATGCCGTCTCTGGCAGACATTCGCACACAAGCGCAGAAACCAGCAAACAGGGGCTTATTATATTTACATAAAAACAAAATCTCGCTTGGTTAAAGGGTGATGGGGGGGCTGACGTGAGAAATTCTATAGCTAAGCCCACTCTTACCTCATGTCTCGCGATTTGATGGAGCACCTGACAGCCACACACTCACAGTTGTAATCCCACTATGGTGGCAGCACCAACACCATATCTCAAAACACGCTTAACTCCCATTATGTGCTAAGGTTCTTTAATTACTTACACACGCCTCATCACTTATCTCATTCATTGCAGCCATGCGTTGAAGACGTCCGCTAAATTCTGAGCCAAAGAAAGAGACGGATAGACGGGCAAAACAAGAGACAGGAGATATGTGAGTCTTCGCTTTTAGCCAATATTGGCGTATATTTAACCATTGGCGTATATTAGAACCTACAAAATCAATTAAAAACCTGCTCTGATCTGAGGCCGTTAAATCATATTAATAACACTTTTGGATTATCAATTCAATAAATCAATTCATTTAAAGGAGGAAACTTTTAAAACTTAGACATACATTTATTATTTGCTGCTCTGTTTACAAACAAATTTATTCAACCACACATCTAAAAATATTATATTGTTTTATTCACTTACATAAATTAAATTACAGAAATCAAATAAATTCAAACTGCACTATGAAAACAAACTGGAACATAAAAAACTTGAAAAGTTTGTAAACAACAGTATGATGTTATCATGTGACATTCTTTTATCACCCTAAGCTTTGTACAAATTCGGAGTCTTCAGCATTTTTGTTCCCTGCTTTTTCATTTTTATGTTTATTGCTAACCTTCCGAGGAATTTAATTTTGCCATTATTGAAAGGCAGTGAATGCATTCTCTAGAGCACTCTCGGTCCTTGGAAAACAATTCAATTAGTGGCAGCTAAGAGACAAAGTTATCCGACGGCAATATAAAAAGATTTTATGACTCACTCAAAGGATCATGGTAGAGGAAATACCACGTTGGTCGGCATTCTCATAAAAGTCAGCTTGAGCATATTGAGTGGAAAATGGTTAGACCAGCAATGCACTTAGCTGCGATGCAGCTGCTGCATTTTCCCTTAAATATATTAGAATGCATTAGATTAAAGCATCGGCATCAGATGTCCCTTTCTTTGTATCAGAAAATTCTGATTAAAAGGATCCTTTGGTGAGCAGGGAAAAAATAAAAGCAAATTGCTATTGGCCTAGTGATGAGCCATTACATTGATTAAAACCTCTGCAGAAGGCCAACAAGTTGGAGATTTGCCAACAATTAGCAGCTGTAAAGCGTAACCAGATGATGCCCCGCCCACCGGCTGCCGAAGTGGGCGGCAGGGCAGGGACAAAGGCGACACTTTAACTGAAAATATTTCCGTAAATAAATGCGAAATTACATTTTTTATGATGATGTCACAGCGCGCCAGAGAAATAATTTTAAAACCAATAAATTGTGCAAAAAACAACCGACAACAACAAAATGAGCTATAAAAGGGCAACAACAAATGTTTGACTTGACAAAACGGGCATTTATGTAAGGAACATAAATTCCTTTGGCGGGGAATCATCGATGTTGTCTTTTTTGGGTCTTCATATGGCCACCATAAATAATCAAATGAAAATAACAAAAGACTATAAGGCGCAGTACCGAAATATGCAAATGTCTGTGTGGAAATGGCAAAGGCAGAGCTTATGTCGTGTTGTTTTCCACCAGGAAACGGAAACGAAGGCGAATGCGAAACGAGACAGGCCGTACCCGCAATTTATGTAAAATTCAATGCTTTATTACATCACACACGCAGTATTCCGCTCCCTCATATGCAAATCATATCACTCATACGCCCACGTTAACTTTAAATGCAAAACATTATCAAAAATGAAACACCAGTGAAAATGTCAGCCCCGAAGAAACAAACTCACCATAACAGCACTAAGAAGGATGCGAGTTCCTAAAGATAAGCAAATGTTTTTGTTCTCTCTCTCGTTTCGACACATGTATGTCCTGTGCACAAATTTTATTATGCACACAAATAAACAAACACACACTTCCTCAAATGCCTACATATGCCAGGCATTTTACACGAACTTTTGTTCGACACTCTCCAACAAAATTGATGGCAAACAATCAGGCTCTCACATTTTCCACTCACTTTTATGATTCCCCGTCTCTGACCTTGACTTGGGGAAATGCTTTCGGAAAGGTTGGACATACTCGATATTTGATATTCCATTTTAAAGGATTGCTGCTCATGACAGTGAAGGAATTCGCAAAAGGCTCTAGGGATTCCCATCATGGGACTTAAGCTTTTACTGGGAAAAATAATCGAGAATCGGTGGAAATTACACAACTTTTATTTATTTGCTGAAAGGGAATGGCCATACAACAATTTCAATTACTTTTAATCCGTTGTTTTATAAATAAACATTTTTATTTCATTCAATTATTAAATTGTAATTTTAAAATATAAAAACTATATGGCACTTGTTATTGCATGTTTTACGGGCTGTCGAACTAGCCCATAAAGATTTTTTTTAAAGCTATGAATTTAAAAACGAAGTTTCACTTTTAACAAACGTATTTTATTGTGAAACACGCTAAATATTTTATCCTGATTGCTTTCCACATTTTGTTGCTCGGTGTAAGCGCGCCGGCATAAATATATGATTCGAAATCAACGCATTCATTATTTACAACCATGGCAACGCGAAGCGAAAAAGCGTAAGGCAATGTAAGCCAACAGCAGCTTGACACATAAACATCAAGTGCGCAAGAATTCGCCCCTCGGAAGCCCTGATTTGGCCTTGTTCTCGTCTGGCAGCCTCAAAAATCCCCAAAAAAAAATCCAGAAAAGGGGCGTCGATGTCGACAGCGGCAATTTAAAATTGCTGGCTTTTTAACTCGCATCCATTTACAGCAATTTCATGAGCTCTCGAGACGTGTGTGTCCCTCGTGTGATGTGTCAGGTTGAAATTACATCGGGCACTTGGCAAATGGCAAAAATGCGGCAAGGATAACACACATATGCGACTGGCCCATAAATAAGCATGGACGAAGCAAAAATTGAATGTGAATCCCCGGCACGAGAAATCAAATTTTATGACTTTGTAATTGAAAAGAGCCGGCGAGCATATGAAATGAGTGGGCGAACATCGCTCATACGCCGGGTAGGCTGCACAGATTTTAATCTCCTGAGGTTTTCCGTCTGCAGTTTTTCCCCACCCCCTTTTATCCCAGGGATTTATTACAAATCTGCTGTTTTTCTTTTTTTGGCTGTCTCAATTACCAGTGAGACGCTTGCTTCGTGACTTTCGCTGCTCAGCCACAAATCTGCTCAGCTTTAAGAATGCTGTCTCTGTTGGGTAAAAGAAGACGGAGAAAAGAAAAGCTTAATGTGCCAAAGTGCGGCGCCGGCAAGCCAAGCCCTGTAAAAAATGCGGGCGCGGGGGACAGGCGGGAGGCGTGGCAGCAGACTATAAACTGCAGCCATCAACTGCATTGCATTCCCTTTCGAGTTTACCATTTTTCGAGTGGCTGCTGTGGTGGATACTCGAGCTGGCTGCTTGAAACAATTGCTTGCGATATCTGCAAAAATTAAGTTTACGCTTGCTGATTTTAAAAAGCACTTTATGCGCATCCAGCTTTTATCTTTTTCCCTGGATGAGCTTATTTTGGGGGGCCACTCCACTGCGAATGAAAAACTTAAGGATTTGCAAGCGTCAGCGTGGCCATAAAATATATTTTGTGTTAACTGAAAGGCGAGCCAGTAAATCCCGCACACAGCACTTAATAAGGCAGAAGGGGTTGGCATAAATCTAAATGGAAATCTGCGCAGTAAACTATTTGCCACTTTCCAACAAAGTGTAGCAGTTGGCCAACTAAAATTACACTTGTCTACCAACTGGCCTCCGCAGCCAGGCTCAGATGGCTGGATGGTGAACAAGGCCTGTCAGCAAAGTCGAGGGACTGCGGCAAACCTCAAGACGCTGCCGCAGAAACCAGAGAAACTGCCAAATATTTGAAAAGTTGCTAGCTCGCAGGGAGGAATGTCAAATATTAAGGGGGGGAGGAGGGGAGAGACAGCTCAAAGTAAGCGAAAGTTGCTCATGCAGGACGAAGGACATAAATATTAAAACCTATGAATATTTACGCCCCTGTCGGCTTTGGCAATAATACAAATAGGCCGTCCTCTTTGCCAGAGGAGCCGCCTTCGCTAAGCCTGAGCTGCCAAATCGCCCGCCATCGCTCCCCCCAACGATTCATAATTAAATTACATTATTTATGTCCTGTTGCCAGGAGAATTCATCCGGACAGGAGTCGCACACGGGCTTACAGCGGCTTACGTTGTTCCATTGTTTGCTGACCAAATAATTGGGGCCATCTTGTCCCCTTGATTAGCATAATTAACACCGAGCGTTCGTTTGAGCGCAGCCACCAGCCAAAAACAAATAAATTCGAGTGCATTCGCACAAACAAGCAGCATCAGCATCGCAATCACGAATCGAACTCGTGCGCATCCGAAATTCCAATTGCCAGACAATTTCCCACCACAGATGAATTTTCCCAAATTGCAACGCACACATTGCTATTCGTATTTATTATTATGTCCAACCGATTGGTTTACCAATTTTCGTGTGAATGCCTTATTGTTTAGAATTAGGTGATATTTGCACAGTTTTTGAACCAGAATTGTCAACGATTCCCAGTGTTTCAGAATAATATAGGTAACTAAAGAGGAAAGAGAAAAGTCCACAATTACAGTCCCTAAAATCAATTAAAGTCCCTAAATAAAAGGCATTGTGTGCTACAAAGTATGCTTATTTTCAAGCACATTTAAAAAGTTGTTATAAAATTATAAGCATTAAATAGGTTTTCGGTTTGATGATTTATATGACTCATGCCTTAATCAAAAAAACAAATTATACAGTAGGAAAGAAAACAGAAATTTGTTTTCCTCGTGTTTTATTTATTTTATAATTAGTAATTCAAATTGAAAAGTTGTTTTGTATTCTCTTAACCGACAAATTGTTATTCCTGGCCAGTTTCCACTCTATTTTCAGCCAAGAAGTTCTTTTCCACAGAGAATAGGTTTATAATGATTCTGTGAGCATCAGCTTAATGTGAGTGCCCTCCTGTTGTTTCAAGTTTCACTTGATTTTTGAGTGTCGAGAGGGCTCACAACTGGTGCACAGGTGTGGCCTTGTCTGGCCGTCTAGACGCCTTTGCCCCGCCCTCGAGGCACCTGATTTTCGTGGCTCAATTGCCACTTGGCCGCCTTCAATAAATCGTACGGGTAGACACATGAGCGCGGGACTCGCAAATGGCATTTTAAAGGGGCATTTCAATTGTGAAGCCAAGTTCGACGACACCTCCGAACGCTTCGCAATGGAATTCAATTAGAGAGAAATGTATAAACTGTATTTCTACGCGAGACCTCTTTTACTTTTCCTTTGGCTGACCACAAAGGCAGGAAGCCGGGGGAGTTCCGAGGATGAAATAAATAAAAATGCCAAACGGAAGCTGCCAACGAAAATGGTCGCAACAATGGCGTAGGCGCCACCGCCTTTTATGCGGCCCTTTGTTTATTTGTTTCGCATTTCGAAGAACGTGAAGTGCCGGGGCGGGGGCGGGAGCGGGGGGCGTGGCCTGCGGTTTGTGGCAGGCAACGGGCCAACAATTCAATAATCAAAAGAAGTACGAAAATTAATACAAAAGGACGGCGACAGCCACCGATGATTCACCACGTGTCTGGGAAAATGGGGGAAATTCTTAGCGGGTACACAAACCAGCTGCCGATGGCCGTCGGGCCATTAAAACGTTTGCGGTTGCTTCTCTTTTATATTTTTTACATATTTTTCCCCGTATTGTTTCATTGTTTAAAATTTTCTGTGGAAAATGTAACAACTGTGACCATCATTAGGGCGACATGTGCGTGTGTTGAGATCTTTGTGTGCCGGGGAAAAAATTCCAGATAAAACGTAAAAGAGATGATGGAAGAAGAATGTTGTGACCCCCAAGGCTCTTGTATTTTATGCGTATTTAAATTCAGACTTTAAGGCACTGCCATTTGCACTTTATAAATACAGCTGAGTGATGAATTTTCTCCCGTTTCTTTTGCAGCCCAGCCGACAATCACACAGTCCACCAGCCGAGATTTATTAAAAGAGATAGCAGCGAGTGTACAAGGCATAAAAGTCAATGACCACATCAACTGGCAGCCGCAGGCAGCTTTTTTATTAAGCATACGCCCCCACATAAATTAGTAATCAAGCGACGGGGGCCCGAGGCGAAACTAACAGGAGGACTTATTTTTATTGAAATTATGATTGATGATGGGAGCGTGCAAGTAAATCGCGGTGCTGGTAAATCATGCTGCTGAGGGCCATTGAGACGACGATGATGAAGTCGGGCAGCAGCAGCAGGTCAGCACTGGGTTGCTCATACGCCGCGTTAGCCCGCTGCCACTCCGGTTGAAAGACTGATGGCTTTGTCTGGACAGGATTGGCGGCGCCATCAGAGCCACCGCCAGCATAGGAACCACCAGAAGCACCAGAAACACCAGAAACTGATCTCCACCACCACGCTGACGCTGTTCGTCCTCTCCCTCAGCAGTTGGATAGCCTATGCCGCGGCCAAGGCGGCCACCGTTCCAGCTCCGCTCGTGGAAGGCGAGACGGAGCCGTCGTCATCGCAGGACTTCAACAGCAGCAGCGCCTTCCTGGGGGCCATTGCCTCCGTCTCCGCCTCATCCCCGGGTTCTTTTGGCCTGCTTGGCTCAATGAACAGCAGTCCCGTTGCCATAGTCACATACGAGGGCATCACCAGCAGCGGCAGTAGCAGCAGCAATTTGGGGGACAGCAATACCACCTTGGTGACCCTATCGGATACTCCTCTGCTGCTAGAGGAATTTGCCGCTGGGGAGTTTGTGCTGCCGCCGCTGACATCCATATTCGTGAGCATCGTCCTGCTGATCGTCATCCTGGGCACGGTGGTGGGCAATGTCCTGGTCTGCATAGCCGTGTGCATGGTGCGGAAGCTAAGAAGACCCTGTAACTACCTGCTTGTCTCGCTGGCCCTCTCGGACCTGTGTGTGGCCCTGCTGGTGATGCCCATGGCCCTGCTGTACGAGGTGCTGGAGAAGTGGAACTTCGGGACGCTGCTCTGCGACATCTGGGTGTCCTTCGACGTGCTCTGCTGCACCGCCTCGATCCTGAACCTGTGCGCCATCTCCGTGGACCGATACCTGGCCATCACGAAGCCCCTGGAGTACGGAGTAAAGCGGACACCGCGGCGGATGATGCTGTGTGTGGGCATCGTTTGGCTGGCGGCCGCCTGCATTTCACTGCCGCCGCTGCTGATCTTGGGCAACGAGCACGAGGACGAGGAGGGCCAGCCCATCTGCACGGTGTGCCAGAACTTTGCATATCAGATCTACGCCACCCTGGGCTCCTTCTACATCCCGCTGTCGGTGATGCTGTTCGTGTACTACCAGATCTTCAGGGCGGCGCGGCGGATTGTGCTGGAGGAGAAGCGGGCGCAGACGCATCTGCAGCAGGCCCTCAATGGCACGGGATCGCCATCGGCTCCGCAGGCTCCCCCGCTGGGTCACACGGAGCTGGCCAGCTCGGGGAACGGGCAGCGGCACAGCAGTGTGGGCAACACCTCGCTGACCTACTCCACCTGCGGCGGGCTGAGCAGTGGCGGCGGGGCTTTGGCAGGACATGGCAGTGGTGGGGGGGTGAGCGGATCGACTGGACTACTGGGCTCGCCGCACCACAAGAAGCTGCGGTTTCAACTGGCCAAGGAGAAGAAGGCCTCCACCACGCTGGGCATCATCATGTCCGCCTTCACCGTCTGCTGGCTGCCCTTCTTCATCCTGGCCCTCATTCGTCCCTTCGAAACGATGCACGTGCCGGCCTCGCTCTCGTCCCTGTTCCTGTGGCTGGGCTATGCCAACTCGCTGCTGAACCCCATCATCTACGCCACCCTGAACAGGGACTTCCGCAAGCCCTTCCAGGAGATCCTTTACTTCCGCTGCTCCAGCCTGAACACGATGATGCGGGAGAACTACTACCAGGATCAATACGGGGAGCCGCCTTCGCAGCGCGTGATGCTGGGCGATGAGCGGCACGGAGCCAGGGAGAGCTTCCTCTAGGCCCTTCCCAAGGACATGTTTTGTTGTGCCCAAGACAAGCGAATCTGAGCTGCTCGAAGGATCTTCCCCAGGTTTCCGGAAGAAGGCCACATCTGTGCTCGACGCACTCACGCACACCTAAGTATACACACTGGGGTGGACACCTAAGCAAAATAGATAATGTAAAGTTTTAGGGGGGGAAAAGTGTTTTTGGACAGTTCTAAGTACATGTTCCCTGAGGTCTTAAACAAAGAGTTACGACTTTTCTAGTGGCTTAATACAAAATGCACTTAATTTTGATGACCTTTATAGTACCTCCCAAAAGTTTACTGACTTTTCAAAACCTATGTTTGCTAACTAATGTTAAATAACTTGTAAAGGCTAAAATAATACGCAAGCAATGAACATTGATTAAATAGAATATTTATTTAACTTATGTATAGAAAGGCAAGGAAAGAGTTTTAAAATAATTTCAAAATGTATTATTTTTATGTAAAAGTTAAATTCAAACAAAAATTATGGATAAATTAGGGAGAGTCTAGGATTATTCCAGACCTCAAAGACCTAAAGCCTCAAAGAAAAAGATACTAAGGACTGACCAAAGATAAATTTTCACCACCCCAGTACTCACACATGGATATTTGTATGTAGTAGTGTTAGTAGTGCGTATCTCTGTATATGTGCACCGCCCCTGACGACTCCTCTTAAATGTAACTTGTTGTTGTAATTTTAAATGTAGAACTAAGCAATCGGCGTGGTCTATACCACACACCAACACACACACCTCACACTCACACACCAAACACACACGGTTGTAACTGTGACAGGTTTCTACGGTTCCTTTTATGTTTCGAAAACAATCAGCACCGGATATGAGACACAATCGTTATCGAATCTATTGATACCCCTTAAAAGAAAAGGGAAAAACCAAGAAGCCCTATTTCCTTCCCCCAAAAAATTGCCAGCGTAGTTAGTTGATTTGCGATACTCAAACTGAGCCAAAAATTAAATTTACAAACTGCAGAGTGCAGCCAATTAAGTCTACTATTTAACCTAGTTATATTTATGTTTGTGCAAGAAGCTATCCACTGTAAATACCCAGCCATCTGCGACTATATATATATGTCTATAACGATAGTATATATATAAAGATATAGAGAAAGTAGCCTATATAATATATATATATGTATACACTGTGCGGCTCAAGCTCAAGTGAGAAGAACTAAATTGTATTTTGTAACTTTCTGCATTACTCTTTCGTTGTATTTTGTATGAAAAGTCACGCCTCTCTGTGATACCAAACATTAAGCATTACTTTTATGTTTAGATCGAAGCTGCATCAAACGTAATACACACATACCTATACATATAGATATAGTCAAACTAAGTGTGCATGTTTTTATTGTATATGTATGTAGCACTGCGAGAAGTGCATTATGATATTCGCAACAAACCAAACAACAAAAAATGGTAACTGGAAACTGGAAACTGAGCTATTCATAACTTGTTGTTTCAGCGCAAACACAAGTGAGAGATAAACTATCAATCAATTTACATAGCCGACACACTTCCACACACCCACAATCGCCACCCATTGAATGAAATTGAAAATGGAAAACGGATAACGAAAACTAAAATGAAAAACAAACAAAGGCAAACGAGCATGACAAAACTAAGCGCAGCTAATTATACGCAAACCAAACTAAAGGTTATTGCAAAAAAACAAACATCAGATATTATAATTCAAAACAAAACAAAAAGTAATTGAGAATAACAAACAAAAGAAAAACTAAAAACACTTTCCGAGTGATGCTTACAAAACTGCAAAACTGCATTTGAAAACTGTTTTTCTGAACAAAAAAACCTGCGGAAATTAAGGCATAAAATAAAAGGCAAACCGTATCAATGTAATTGACTTTCTTTTGATATTATTATTATTATTATATTATTTGTAATTGGAGAGGGGTGCCTGGAAATCTCTAGTAAGTACAATTTTTTTTTTTTCAAATCCTAACTTGCTAAATAAAAAATCATAAAGCTTTTGTAAATTTTTAAAACCCTACCAAGTGACTTTAAATTAACAGAGAAGTGGCTTTTGAAAACTTTTTGAATCTTAACAAGTGACTTAAAAAGTTCGGAGATTTACTTTGCATCCCAATACAATAAAGGCAATTGAGTTCTTTGAAAATGTATTTATTGAGAACAAAAGTGTTCTGCAAAAATTAGATGAAAAGCGACAGGTTCAAGTAGCCAGAGCTGATATAAAGCAGCGAAAGCGGGTAAAAAAATCAGAACTGAATGCAAATTTAACAAATGCGACCTGCAGCAGCTGCTGGCAGTTTGTGTTGCTCAATGTCAACCCAATGCGCAATTTAACAGACTGGCGGACCAAAAAACATTGAAAAGCAGCTGCAAGCCAGTCGCCCATCGAGTGCATTCAGCTCATTGCGAGTGACAAGTTGGGCAAACGTGCAAAATGCACGGAAACGGAAGCTGCAGCTGAAGGGAAAAAGTGAAAAGTGAAATAGGGGGAAAAAATAGGGAAAACGACGCCAACATGCCGTTCATACCAAATGGCAAACACTAACAAACTAACAAACATTGTCGGCGGAAGTCCTCGAAATGTGCGTTGCTGTATGCAAATATCTGCTCTTTCCTTACCTCCACCTTTTGCCAGGCACAAAACAAGGCGAGCGCTCCTAAGCAGGCGGTCGAGATTCCAGGAAATAGAAGCGAAGCAAGGCGCTCCTAAAAGGGTATGACAATGACAAAGTGAGCCGGATCTAACGGCGCCAGCAGCAGAACCAGCTTCACACTCGCAAAAAGTATCACACCACTTTGACAGAATTTTGGTATGTATTCAGCAAGACCACGGTAAGAAAAATATACCGGAAAAGAGCAAAAAAATTCGAAAGAAAAATAAAAAGGGATTGATTCATTAATTCCGAAATAGGTATCCAATATTTTCTTAAAAATATGGCCAGAAAAATACAGGTTTCGAGGTCATATAAAATATTTATTAATAGACAATATAATATTACTAATTTTACATAAAATGTTTTCTTAATATCTATAATATTATATTATTTGATAAAATGTTTTTTCTTCTTCTTTTTTCTCAATATTTCTTTAAATATAATATTTAAATAACATAGAAACCCTCTAGTTTGAAAGAGAATTACCCATTTTAAACATAGCTGAGACCTAGTATTCCACGGTGCAGCTCAAGCTGCTGGCTGCCTGCTGATAAATGATGATTTTATGCCCGCTTTCCCGCACTGCCGTCTACATGCTAGTATGCCACTTTATGTACCAGTCGAAAAAAAAGGACACACACCGAGCACAAGGCCACGCCTTTCGCCCCGGATGTGGACGGGGATATGTGTTTTGGGTGCGCTTTGCTTTTCAGCTAAGCGGATTTTTGTATTCAAATAACTGCGTTTGGCACCCAAAAAAAAGGAACCCCAAAATGAAAAACGATGCCGACGAGTGCAGTGAAATTGCTGCAACAAGGGAGCGTAAAATTTACCGCATCGCCAGCAGTAAAGTCTGCAGTTTTACGAGCACTTTTTTCTATTAGCAGTTACGTGACACTAATGCGACGTTTATGAAACATCTCGAATCGGCACGAGGGTCGGCACGATGTCCTTGAGAAGTTTCCAGCGGGGCTTCTAGCAAAAATCGCTTATGAAAATGCCTGCAGTTGTTGGGCTCGTAGCTGTGAAGTGCTAACAAGCACTCGCCACATAAATCAAAAGACAGGACGAGCAGGACCCTTTTCTGGACGGCCCAGAGAAACAATAAAAGCCAAACCAAAAAAGACAGTGGCAGTGGCAGTGGCTGGGGCACGTAACAAAAAACCAACCCAATTGAGCCCAATTTCCTGTGAGTGGCACTCTCCAGCCTCTAACTTTCGGGAAGTCGGCGAAAGGGCCGCCAAAGTGGCTAGATTTGTTTCGATAACGCAATCGAAAATCGATGACCCTCCCCCGGCAGCCAAATGTCCAATGCGCTGCAAGGTAATACGACAAATTTTCAAATGTATTTGCCCCAAAAGAAATGAGCTCCAGTTTCAGCAAATGACTTTCGGTGGGAGGAATGGATGGATGCCCCTTGGATGTTAGATGTTAAATTTAATAAATATCAAAGCAGCATCTCGACGAAATGGGAATTTAATATTTTGTGTGGGTATTAAATGGCTCGGGGAACGGAAATATAAAGTGTAATCAAATGCTATTTACTTTTCGTACTTCTGTGACAATAAGCTTGAAAAAAAACACGAGCTTTGGGGTGGCTTTCATTCATTAAAACCTGCCGACATTGTTAAAGCAAATATTGCGTATCCGCCGGGTGAGCCAGGGGCAGCCGAAGAGGTTGCAACACGAACACCTTTGCCTTTGTCAAAATGTATTCAAAACAAATTATGTAAATTATTCCGAGCGCTAACAACTCCATTTCAACATGACGCGATAGGAATCTGCACTCTTCTCCTCCGCGATCCCCACTTCCCCCCGCTTTGTTATAATTGCGGAGAATGTTTTAATAAATGCCGACCTGCGGGGCTTGCGACACTGTCCCGAATTGCTCAGAAGCACGGGAAAAACTGAGCCGAAATGTCTGAGAATATGTACAAAATTAAGTTGATTAAATGGACTTAGCTGTGCGATTACACGCAAGGCTGCCCGGACGGTTCGGGTTTGTTTCGCTTTTCTTTCGGATGTCCCAGAATGTCCCAACACCCACACGCACACACACATACACACACACACACACACATAGGGCAAACATTTTTCATTCCCTTCCCGGAATTCATAGCTGTCGCTTTATCGAATTTAAGGAAAAGGGGACGGGCAGGAAAACTTTGACCATTGAAATCTCAGTCTCGTGGGAGCAGTCGTCTTTAGTCTCATTAAATGCCGCATGATTAACGCTTTGCTCTACGAGACAATTGATAAGGAATGGAACGGAGAGCCAGGCCCACAAGGAGCTTTAAGCCGTGTCGGGCATCAAAAGGAATTACATTCCCGGGCAGCCAAGGACTGCAAACAATGGACACTGCAGCTTAAGTAAAGGGTAGCCGACATGCTTTGCTCCAAACTGGGTAACCTAAAGGGATTTCCTTAACTTCGTTTTTTTTTTGCTGCCATATGACCAAGAAATTCCCTCATGTAGGTTTTAAATAGAGGAAGTTTTTTTAGCTGAGCTTTAACATTTGCATCTGAAATTGTAGCAATTGAATAAAGGGCTCCACTGAAAGGTAAACATTTGTATATTAAAAAACATATATATTAGTTTTTCGTTAATATTTTTCCAAATCAGCAGGGTATTCAATAGGCTTCTAGTTGTACTTGAACAAATCTTGCTCTCCTTCCATTTTGACAATTAAGGTCCGTGAGGCAGGTTGAAAACGGAAGCGCACGAATAGCCACAGAAAAGAAAAGCATTTAAGGCAGGACTCACTTTGTTGCCGGCTTCGTCGGGTTCTTTGTTTTTTGTGGGACAAACAAAAAGGCACCCCGAAAGGAAAAATTACACTGGAGCCTTGCTGCGATGGCTGCTGCTGCTGCTGCTGCTGCTGCTGCTGCTGCTGCTGCTGCTGCTGCTGCTGCTGCTGCTGCTGCAGTGTTCGCAATGATTAATGTGCTCCTGCACAAAGCAGCGGCATTAATGGGCGGTCAGCGAGGCGTTCCCAGCGACAGCTAGTGGCTTAATTTCAGCAGGAAAATCGCCTCGCGTTCCTTTCACCGCCACGTACTGTACACTCCCCGAAAAAGGCTGCCGAAGATGGCAGCACGTCTGGGTAAAAAATCTTGTTCAGCAATCAGCGGCTGGCCCATAAATTAACGCGGGGTATGATTAATATTCGGTGTAGCACCATCTAATGGGCGGCTCGTGAGCAATTGTAAGTGATCGAGCTGGGCTCCCAGTGTACGAACTTAATTTCCCCGGTTGCTGACGCTTAAATCTTTATTAATATGCATGGTTTGGCCGTAGGATTGGAGGATTTCGGTGCAACTCGTCTCATCCGTGGGGCTGGTGAAAAATGGATGCCATTAGTGCCAGCAAATTTGCTCGCTTGTCCCGGACAGGATACTGTACAACGAAAAGTGGACTGCAGACAGCAACTGCATTGATTTTGTGGCACGTGGCATGTTCTGACCGCCTGTCATTTATGTTAATGATACAAGCGAATCGACATTGGGTAGCGGACGAAATTGGCGACTATGTATAGAACATCACTCGAAAGTGGAGGTAGTTAAGCAGATATACTTCTTGTTCCTCGCGAATATCTAAATTCTGTAACACGAAATTTAGTTACATTATTACCCACCTATTGGATGTTTGCGGTAATTGGACTCGAAATGCAGGAACATATTTTTGTTAGTAATTGCTGTAAACTATATGTCAAACTAAATATTCAAAATAGAAAATTATCTTCAGTAAGTTTAGTTTTAATATGCGCAATTTAGATTATCCAACAGATTTTTCAATAAAATTTACTGAGTGTAAACTAATACAGATCATACAAAGGAATTTGTTAAAATATTTAATAATATTTAAAGAAGGCTCTATTCGTACAAAATTTAACTAGGCATTTCATTTTTTGTCGCTTACAAGCTTGTCAGTCCCTATCCAGATCTACTTTAAAGAGATTACTTGTTTTTGAAATCCTTGTGAAAGCTGTCACTTAAGATTCGATCAAGTTAACACAATTAAACCATTCTCATATATTTTAACTGATGTCTGACCATGAATCACCATGGAGCTGATGTTCCAGAGAGTCACGTCCACCATCACGGCTCTGATCCTGGTGCGCCGAGCACCGTTCACGAAGGACACCATTCGCCTGGGATGTCACATGATGCAGCTCATGGGAATGCCAAGCACACTGATCACGGAGGCGGGGTACACGACATGACCATGTCGATGTTTTTTCATGCCGGCGACACGGAGACCATACTGTTCAAGTTCTGGCATACTGATTCCGCTTTGGCTTTGACTTTGTCCTGTATTTTCATTTTCCTAATGGCCGTGCTTTACGAGGCCCTGAAGTGCTTCAGAGAGTGGCTGTTTGCATGGAACAGGAGAAGATTGGCGGGCGGTCGGGATCAGTACACTGCCCCGAGGCGCTACAGGGAGGCCAACTACAACTACAACCAGCCGACATATCCCCCGAGGAGTCACCAGCAGTCTGGCACCCAGATATACGCCTACCGCCCAAGGTCGCCCTCGATGCCACCGCTTGGAAACCAGTCTCCGCCAGCTCAGCCTCCGACTATTCTCACCCCCCATCAGCCCCTTCACCATCATCATGTTCAGCAGGATCCCTCGGAAACCAGGGAACCCTCGAGGCTTAAGTTTCTGTGCTCCAGGATGCACATCCTGCAGACCCTCCTGCATATCCTGCAGGTGCTCATCTCCTTCCTGCTGATGCTCATCTTCATGACCTTCAACGTGTGGCTCTGTCTGGCCGTTTTGTTGGGCGCCGGAGTGGGTTACTACATTTTCGGAGCCTTCGGCAGCCACGTTTCGGACCATTGCAACTGAAAAAAAGGACTAAGACGACGAGCTGTCTAGGACCGCTGCTAATGTGCTTTTCTAATTAAAGCGAGCTGTAAAAATCATAACGGCTTGGGTACCCGGCCTAATTGTTAATGTTTATGGCTCGTAAAACAATGAATGCTGCATCTTCTGCCGGCTAAATTAAGGGGCATCTGCACAATGTGGGTTTTCGTGTGGCTTTGGCTAACGGGGCGTATGCGCAAAATAGCTTGGTAGGGAAAAAGATTATGGGGAAAAGGGTATGCTGACTTTTGGGAAGAGATGGATCATGATTAATTAGTTTATTTGAAAGGGAATTTGCAACTTTAGAAATACACAATTAACTATTAACTACAAAAGTAGTTTGCTTTAAACTAAGAAATCTCTTCTTTATGGAGTCTAAAATTTAAGTCAAATTCTTGTTTTGGTTTATTTTGTAATGACACATTTTTAAAGTAACCATAATATCGAAAGGTTAATCTGGACAACATTTGCGGGTGTCTAAGCGTATTGCCGCGTCAACCAAAGCAAAGTCCTGGCATTTTAACGCGTTATTTGTATACTCAATTTTTGTATCTGCTGCTTTATGGGGCTCCCGCGTTTACGAGAGCGCCCACATTCCGAGTCCTGTGTGTCCTGGTACGACTCGTATGGCTGCCCAGGTGAGCCAAGCGGCTAGGGATGCTGCCGCCGTTTATTTGGCCGTGTCTGGCGCTTCCATTACGCAGTAATTATGAGGGCGATAAAGCAACGCCGTGTTTACTTTTCGGCACATGAAAACATTGCAGCCGACATGGGATTGAGAGGGAAATGGCATGGAAATGGACGGGCTGCCGCCATTGTTGTCGGCCAGTTATCGGCGCTTCCACTTTCAATTAATATTTTAATAAGCTGACTTTACGCAATTTTCAGAGTCGATAACGCAGTTCGCAACGCTGCATACAGAGGGGATTTCCGATCGAAACTTAATCGTGTGTTGGCTAAAAGACAGAGACGGCTTTAAAAATTCATCCACAATGGTGCATGGCTACGAACAGCCCATTTGCAAGTCCTCTTTTTGCAAACCTATTGGTAAAATGAAGGAAAGTCATCCAAAAGGGAAATGCGTTGGAGCACAGCAGGCTTAAAATTGCAGGGACAATCCAAGTGAGTTCCCATAAACCTACTAAGACACTTTAACCACTCAAACCATACAAATCAGAATTATAAAAATTAAAAAATATATAGAACTAATTATTTTTGTTCTATATAGCCATATTAAGCTAAACATATGAACATTAAATTTAAAAAATGTAACATTTCGGTTCGATTTCAATTGCTTATCACAAAACATTTTAAACTCGTAGTAGCTTATTTTCGGCAATTTTCGTTGCGTAGGATTTTAGAAGAAGAAAAACGCAATCAAATGCTATGAATTGAGTAAGACAATAACAATAACTAAAACAAGTTGCTTCCGGGGAAATTCGTATTTATATATAAAATGGTCAGTTAATGTGAAATTCCCATTGGTACGTTTGCATTGTTGACGGTGAAGGCCAAGTCGTTAAAGTGGGCTGGCAAGTAGGCTAAAAATGTGGACTCCGTTGCCGCATTGCTGAGCTGGGGTTTCATGGCGGAAAAGAAGACCCGCTCCACTTCCATAATGGCTTCGAGGAATCGGTTGGTGTGCAGCTCCCTGTGGCATTTGGCGTATTTCCTTAGTTTGGCCAGGTCCCTAACGTTACCGCCGACAGGGAGGGAGGGTATGTTCACCAGATCGGTGCGCATCATCCAGGCTAGTTGGTCCATGACCACCATATCCTTCACCAGCATATTTTCCTTTTCCCTGTAGGAGTAACGTTTGCCGTAGCGCAGGCGAATCCATTCAATGAGATAGGGCACACAATGTACATGCGGCAGGGTGGGCAGTACATATCGCTTGTCCTTGGCCACTTTTTCCAGACCCAGTCTGAGCATCTCCTTCATCAAGGGCAGGTTCTCGGGATCGTAGAAATCCTGGCCAAAGTTCAGGCGCGATGTTCGTCGATCCTTCTCTCCGGCAGCCTTTTTCCTCTGCAATCGCTCCAGTTCTTTGTGGAAAGTCTTCACATCCTTGGCAAAAACCCGCTTGGCCGCTCTATCAACCAGGGCATCCAGGGAACCCTCTTCCCCGCCGTTCAAAGCAGCACTTAGGTACTGCACATCGTCGTCGATGGCCCGCACAAAGGCCTCCTTCAGACGCATCCTCTCGTCGTCCAAATGAGTCCTCTGCAGCGAGCCAAATAACTCACGATAGTTAAACTTTACACAATTACAGCCTGGTGGTCCCAGTTCCAACAGCTGCACACTTTCCTTTCGGTCGGGTTGAGAAGAAGGATTTGTATCCTGCTGTCCAGGATCTGAATCTTTCTGCTCAGCCTGCCCAGTGCCGCACAACTGGAGGAACTGCATCAGGCTACTGGGACGTTGTTTTGGGGTTCGGTTCCAGGGCAAGCCCTCTTGGGGATTGTAGATTTGGCATTTGGCGCACTTTGTGGACTCGGGCCGAAAGTCTGGGCAGCCTGGTAAGATGGGTCTGTTGCCTTTCAGTAACTTGACCATTATATCTGGGAATTCGTTTCTGCCTTTTCGGGGCGGCACTTGCTTCACTACCGTTTCCTCTAAAGACTTTTTGTCAGACAATCTGTTGGCCTTTCTTTTGGCTCGATTTCTTGAACTGGATCTGGATCTGGGTCTAGACTTCTTCATCGATTTGGGCTTGGCTTCGGCTCCACTCGATAGCCTTGACCTACTGCCGGATCTGCTTCTTCTTTTGGGCCTTTTAATGGGAGGCCTTTCTGGTGGCCTGTCTGCCTCGAAAGTCTGACACCTTTCCTCCTCGAAATCATCGCACTTGTGTTCCATTGCTGGGCAACCAAAGGTTAATGCACTGGCGGAAGTGCCGCCAAAGAGCTGTTTCCTGGTAGAGGCCAATCTGGCCCGGTCTGCCATGTCCTGAAATCGTTTCAAATAACAGGCACTCATTTCTTCTAGCTCCTGAACGACTCGCTTCCGTTTCCTCTCCTCCAGCCGATTTCTGACTGTGATCAGCTCCTCGCACTTCCGCTGCTTTATGGCTTCCAGTTGGGCCTTCAGGGACTTTTCCATCTCTCGAATGTACTGATGATGGGCACACAGGGACTCCACATCGCGGGGTGGCAGTGAGGCTCGCCTAAACGACTCAAAAATGCTGTTGATCTCCTCGAAAATTATGCCTTTGCCAATTCGATGGGACTCGCTTAATTTGTAGCTGCCAAACCAGCGGGACCATAGATTTGATTCGGGCGGTTCCTCCTCCATTTCGAGTAGACTGGCTGAGTTGGCGGGAAAATCGGAGAGCAATCTGCACTCATTTCGCAATAATCCGGCAATGTTTTGTTCTTGAAAGTACGGCGACAGGGGCGTCATGATCTTCTCCTTTTTGGCCAGCTCCTTTTGCCGCTCCAGTTCCACATCCCTTTTCTTCTTCAACTTTTGACTTTGTCTAAGGCGCTCGGCTTTGTCCCTATCCATTTGGGAGGCATGTGGCAGCGGGAGCCAGCGATCCAGTTCCCTTAGAGTGGGTAACAAGTCCAGCCGGAAGATGCTCGACATGATGATCTGCTCGTTGACGCTGTAGGTCTGGCCATGATGCGGCGTCTTGTAGCACATCTCCATGAGGAACCAGAGGAAGGCCAGGTCGTTTCCCCGGCTCAGATGCATCACCAGATGGAGCGTTTTCACCGGCGGCGTGGGATGCAATCCCAAACGCACCAATATCTTTGCCAGCCCCGAGGCCGCCATCTCGTCCATGTTATCCCTCAGCATATTGCACAAGCTGTTGGCTGCCTCCAACTGGGATTGGGATAGTCCTCGGTACCAACTGATTTCCCGCGGGATCGCCTGGCAACCCTTGATCGGCGCCAGGTGCTCCAGAATGCGACGCCAGGTGCGCTGGGCAACCCCATTTTTGGTATCGCCAGGCACATGAACTTCCATTTCAGCTTCAATTTGGTTCAAGCTATAAAGTAACAAAATCGTTATCTTATGCAAAAGGAAATTTTGAACAAATTTGGATGGCGTTGTCAAAGTTTGATGTGCGAAAAAAATATTACTTTATATTTAGAAAAACTCCTTTAACGCAAATGTCACAGATTTAATAATCTACTCCAACTAGTTAACCCTAATTTTTGTAGAATGAACATACTTCTTTTTTTAACCAAATATTAAATTAAATTTTAATAAGTGTGTCTTGAAATAATACAGACAGTTTTAATATATAAGTATTAATTCAAAACTAAATAATACAACCCCACAAATTATAGTTTCATTTTTGTACCGTAAAGTTTAAAACTGTAGTCTATATATATAAGTTTTATTTCGTGATAAAACCATCTTAAAATTCATGAAACAATAGTTTACTTTCTTGGGTGTATGTACTTATGGATACACTATTACATTTTTGTTTCCTTTAAAATAGTTTAACTTTAACAACCAGCTTTCATCAGTAAATGTGCCACCATTAATTGTTGTATTGTATTTCCTGTTCCACATCAAACATTTTTCGTAAATCGGCGGCAAGGTTTTTGCGCCAGCTTAGTCTTATGATCCAGCGAAGTGTTTACAACTGCCAGTGTTTGCTAAGCACTTCCACAATGGCCGAAAGATAAATGATTGGGACCCAGAACATCGCCCTCATTTTATTTAGGCCAGTCCGAGTGACGCCCCGTCCTCGTCATCGTCAGCGTGCTCGAAAAACACATAACGAATTCGTCACACGGCTGCTGGTCTCTCCATTAATGTCCATTCGGGCTATAAATTGCCTCGCGTGCGAGTGTCGCCAAAGCGTTTGTCACAAAATCCTCCTCTATTCTTTCGGGCGCCGAGATTTTCGAAGGCTGGCCCACTACGAGTATATCATTAATTTATTAGCAAACCAAATAGGAATGTTTTTGCCTTCACGCACGCCCAGACACACACGTGTATCCCCTAGACTTTCTTTGTTTTGTCAAGTGGCACGGGCACGGAGCATCCCCACAATTAGGCCTAATGCCACAGGATACGCTTCCTGTTCGCCCATCTTTGATATGCCTCATAATTTATGACTTTCCACTGTCAATTAAATTCTTTTGAAAATGACAGTTTTGCCATTTGCTGACATCGTGATCCCCTGTTCTCGCTTTTCGTTGTTCGGTTTTCGGTTCTATTTCGGTTGATTTATGCACCGTCGGGCTGACAGCTCTCCAGGATATTTTCAGCCACGGGTCCTTTGTCTCGTTGAGGTTCTGCTGGCAGTGGCCTTTTTTTCCGGCCAACCACTTATGTGTTTTCTGGGCACGGGCAGAGTTGTTTATGTTAATGACCCGATCCGGCTTAGAAGCTGCTGCCTTTGCGGTCATTGGCATGTGTTTGTGCTCATTGCGAACGGCTTTCCAGGATGGCAGATCTTAATAATAGATATGCTCTCGCATTGTCAGGTGGAACTTATCGCATTGGGCACATACCAAGGAAATTAAAGTGCTTCCCTGACAACTTTTCCCTCTTTTTGGAGCCCTTTGCGGATTGCGTGACCAGGTTGTAGTAAGGTTGTAGGTTGCAACTTGTAGGGGCTGCCGAAATCGTTATAGTTACCGTGATGCCACAGGACCCACATAAAATGAATGCCCCTGGATTTATGGCAGCTCATCGGTTATTGATGTCGTCCCAAAAAAATATGTACACGTAAATGAATTGGGGCACTTTTTAATATCGCGCTTGGCATGAGCGTTTCCCTTCTTTTTGCGCTCCCTGGCGAAATTGAAAAACTTTCTTTTTGCTGGGGGAAGCGATTAATCCGAATGTTCTTTTCCGTCCGTTTCGCTTATTTATAGAATGTAGTTGCCCTTTTGCGATCTTGGGCATCCAATCAATCATTATGAGTTGCTATACTGCTTGCAATTGGTTTTTGCGAGAGCAGCTTTAAAATAACATAAACTTATGTAGCCATATTTTTTGCCGGCTGCAATACCTAATGCATTTTATTTGCTGACTTAAATGATTGAGTGAAGCAATCAATGTGAAAACTTAATAAAGTGCAGTCAAATAGTGAACAAGAAAAATAATGTTTACCTATGTCAATAATTGAAAATATATTTTTAAGATTTTCTAATTTTAAAAGCTAATCTGATAAGTGCAAGCATACTTTAAAAAATGTTTCGTGTAAATTAAATTCGTAAATGGAATTTAAGTTTTATGACTAGCGTCGAAAGGGTAAAAGGTCAAAATAACCATGTTAAGGTATGTGGCTTACTTTTCCCAACCTTGCCAATGTTGTATTTTATTTTGGCTTTGGCTTTTGCGGCCTGGTCCGTTCTTAAATCAGATTTTCGCGCCTTTTGCACCCGAACGCGTCTTCTGTTTCCCCTTAAAATTTACGCTCCACTGAATCGGCAACTTGGCAGACCTTTTACGTATATATAAAACCAAGATATAGGAACGGCTTTTTACGCCAACCAGTTGGGAACTGGGAAATGCCGCAAGCCAGGCTTTTGCTAAGTCGCTACTGCGTTCGACCGACTTTATGGCATCACGTGCTCCGCGCCGACTTGAGCTGGGATTATAAAATATATGTTTGGGAATAGCTGGCGGCGCACTTAACCTATCTTGGAATGGATGGGCGAAACTAGGAAGAATATTGGAATCGTTGAAGGGGGATTTTGTGGGCGAGGGGTATATATATCTCTCTTGACAACCCACATTATTCAGATACACACTGACACAGATGCAGATTCAGATACAGATACAAAAACAGACAGTCGCTTGTTCGGATGGCAATGGCAGCTGTAAAAGTGAAAACATGTTCGCATATTTCTACCCCTTGGCGAAATTTAACGAGCTCCTAACTTTATGTTTGTTTGTCGTGTACACATTTTGTTTTTATTGGGGCTCGAGAGGAGCTTCCCTGCTTAAGTGAAACATTTTTAAAGGTACCACCGCCCTACTTCTTCTCTTTCCACTCAACAGTTTTCGGTTAATGCGAAAAAACCCCAAACAAAAAAGCGGTGGAACTTTGGTTAGGGCCAATAATAATAACTGGCATTTGCTCAGAGCTCGCTTGTTGCTCCTGGAACTCCCCCTGAAACTTCTACCCCAAATCCTCCGAATCCAATGGTTGTTGCTACTACAGAGCCGATTCGAAACCCCGGGGCTTTGGCAAATGCACGATGCTTAACTTTTTCGCCTGCCCAAGTTCTGTTTGCTGTGCGCCATTTGTTTATAAATTTAATTTGTCTTAGCAAAAACAGAGACGACTTGTTGACTTATCGAGGGTGAAGTTTCCATTTTGCTTTCGGTTTCCCGCCTTTAATTTTCCGGCTGGCAAATGTGTTTTGCATATTTGGCCAGGATTTAATGCAAAAGTAAATGGGAATTCATAACAGAGTTAGCAATGTCAGCCGCTGGTACTCAACAATTTATAAGGCTTCCAATGTGCTGACTCAACAACTTTGTTGCCAACTTATAGAGTCCACTCCAAAAAAATTTATGAAAAAAAAAATAATTTAAACATTTAAATTATGGTAAATTTCCATGATATTTTTAAAGGAGAAAGAGTGCTTTTGAAGAACATAGAATCTTATCATCAGATTATATATAATAAGATCGTTAAACACCAAAACTTAAACGATTTAATTTCATCCTATGATTTTTATCCATTGGCCCAATAAAATTAATACCTTGTGAAAATTTGAATTAAATCTATTCTGTTTTTCTTTAAAAAACAAGATTTTTTTTCGCCTATTCTATTTAAATTGTACATTTTATTTGAGTGCATGCACTCGAGCCAAACAATGATTTGTAATATGCAAAATTCCCCTGCATTTTTATTGAGTGCCTCAGCGAACTATCACCCAAAAACCACCCACTTTCCCACGAACATGTTTGCTTATATGGTCGGTCTTTTGTGCTTTGGAATTTTATGCGTTATTGAATTTCACTTAAAGGCAACTCATGCTCGCTTATTTATATTGTCTGTGGGCGTGGGAGTGGTTGTGTAGTTGGGAAATGCCACTCGAACCAAGTTCAGACATAGTTTTTGTCTTCGGGGGCCATGGGATATATATTTTCGCATGTGTCTGTTCTGCTGGGAAAACCTTCGGAAAATAATATTCATATGAGAGTGGCTCGAAAGTCTTAAAACTCTATGGCCCTAGAAACTTTGGTGTGGCGAATATGATGGGCTAAACGTTGGCTACTCATTACAAGCTTGAAGAGGGTTCGACACTAGGGCAGTTAAAGAGTTGAGGTGTCGAAAAAGTTTGATGGCATCTAAAGGAGTTTCCATTATATTTGTCCATGGAATAGAGTCGCTTTCCTTTTCAACATTTTCCAACAGCATACCAAATGGGGCAGCATAGAGTGTAGTTTTGGGGCAATTGACAGAAGCGTCAAGCCGACACGACCATGGCAAATAATATTCATATGAGAGTGGCTCGAAAGTCTTAAAACTCTATGGCCCTAGAAACTTTGGTGTGGCGAATATGATGGGCTAAACGTTGGCTACTCATTACAAGCTTGAAGAGGGTTCGACACTAGGGCAGTTAAAGAGTTGAGGTGTCGAAAAAGTTTGATGGCATCTAAAGGAGTTTCCATTATATTTGTCCATGGAATAGAGTCGCTTTCCTTTTCAACATTTTCCAACAGCATACCAAATGGGGCAGCATAGAGTGTAGTTTTGGGGCAATTGACAGAAGCGTCAAGCCGACACGACCATGGCAAATAGAGTTCTGTATGTGGCGGTTGGTGCTGCCAAACACACACTTCAAACAATTGCCAAACAAAAACACCCGCCCTCGGCCTGGATGGCCGACAAAAGGTTTCCTGTTTCCGGCAGGCGGCACTAACTGAAATTAAACATGAAAAATGCAGCAGATCGAGTGGTAGTAGACTAGCACACTGCAAAATATATATGGTATATATCGTATTATTACAAACAGTATAAATATTTAATATTAAAACAATTTTTAATATTAATGTAGTCCACCCTTTTTTTCGGTACCTCATTTAGATGCTATTCAAATATAGAAATTTTAAGGAATTAATAATTCATTTTTGATGTGATTTTAATCGCTATGCAGATGTCG